TATTAGGAAAAATTTCTTCACCAAAAGGGTTGTCAAGCACTGGAACAGGCTGCCCAGGGAAGCAATTGAATCACCATCCCTGGAGGTATATTTAAAAGAGGTAGATGTGGCGCTTAGGGACATGGTGTAGTGGTGGACTTGGCAGTGCTAGGTTAACGGTTGGACTTGATGATCTTAAAGCTCTTTTCCAACCTAAACAATTCTATAATTCTAGAATCATAATTCTAAACTCTCCCTTTCCTAGTAAATGATTCTATTCTATAATAACATACCTAACTAAGAGGTTTCCCTGCCAGCTAAGTTATTTAGTCTGCGTAAGTCTGAAGTGAAATGTCACCTTTAGTACCAGGATTGAGGGCTTGCTTTGTTCAGAATGCATGTCTGGAAGAGTGTGAGATGACTGGAGCTTGGGAAGTGTTGGCAAACGGATAAACAGCCATTGGGAAATGCAGAAAAAATGCAACTTCTCATTGGCTGGATAATAAATAATCTCCACTTGCTAATTAGAGTCCTCAGATATCATTCAGAGCACGTTACTGAATTTAGCTTGAGAAGTGGGGCTTAAAAGTTGGAACCCTTATCCTACAGACACAATTTTAAACACAAATGACAGTGATGACACAAGAACTATTAGCAATAGCAAATGAAGCTGGCTGCACCCCTTGATAAGTTCTAATAACTGGCTCAAGTAAAATAGGAACAAATGATGTCAATTGCATTCAGTCCACATTCTTTTTTAAGAGTGATAGGAGGGAAAAAATCAGAAAGACTAATTTTACAGCTGAAGCACTGAACCTACTATAATATTCCATCATTAAGTAAACTGAATAGCATGTGATGTTCACTGAATACAACTGGCATTCTGCTACTCTTACTCACTCAGACAATAACATGATGGCCTGCAAAACCTGAGCTTTCATCAAGCACTGTTAAGCTAACTAAAAAGGCACAGCAAGCTGGAAGAGTGGTTAAGAGTCTGTTCTGAATCTTCTATTCTGCTGTTCTAACAGAGCGCAGTCTTGTCAGTCTGACAGTGGCTTGTCAGAAACATTATTTCAGGAAAACATATCAGTACCTTTGCTGAATCAGTGATGTTATCCCAGTAGGGAGAAGGAAATTCCAGCTTCCCAACAAGTATCTGATCAAAGAGGTCTTCCTGAAGGTTGTTTTCACTGTAGAACACCATAATGAAAAAGATCATGAGAAAGAAGTCAATTTGTCACGCGAATTTTTAACTTGATTTGGGGATGGAACAGAAATGATGTTATATTAACTACTATAAATGCATAATTTGCAAGCTTATATAGTGGCAGCACTTCTGAGGTGTTTGCCATAGTTACGCTGTCAGGAGTGATGAGAACAGAAAAAATAATATATTGAGGTAAAAGGACTTCCACTGGAATAGAGACTGCATACCTAACATACAGGAACAGGAAAGGTGATTAAAAAATAAGTCACTTGCCAGCCTAGTTCTGAAGGACCTGCTACAGAAAGCGTATGATGGGGAAGAAGTGTAGTGAAATGAGCCTCTTCTGTTAAACTATCACAACAGGAGAATTTTCAAAATCCAAAGAGGAGATGTGGAAAACACATGATACATTTAGTTTACTGAGTATTGGCAGGCTACTGATACTGAAAGGATAAGTACTTTTTTATCAAAAATATGGTATCATGAATATTCAGGGCTCAACGGCAGTAGGTTTTTTGTTTTTTAACCTCTGTTTGTTGGCCCTAGCTACTGTGAACATCCACCCAACCTATTTCTGTAATGAACAATTTACCTCTTGGGTTGGTTTTGCAATAAATATTTATTAACCTTGGTTAAGACCGGATTCTAATAGCATGGTATGGACATTCTTCGTGCCCAACCCCCAAACTCTATTCAAAGCAATTGCCATTTGTTTGTATAGTATATCTTTCAAAACATGCTTTCAGTTTTAAACATGAACTAACCACATGCAAAAAAAACCCCCTAAGCTAAATCATAATTTTTCCATTAATTGTTCATATTGTATTCTTTACAAAATATTCAGTCTGATGATTTTTAGTTAAAAACTAAGTCTTTTGCTGTCAAAATGGACAAACAGACTGTGCACAGATAACTTATAAGTTAAGAGGAAAATTCCTGTTAAAATGTGCTAATGCCTTCTCATTCCCTTGCAAAAAAATTAGAGGCACAAAGCATATCCATTTGATTTTTAGTAGAACTCATACGTATTGTGACATTGAGTAGCAAGAATCGTATTTGCAAACTCCATCGCTCATATGACACTTACCAAAGAGATTAACAAGGTTAAAATGCAACATAAGCAAATTCTTCCCCTCACCTCAGTTTACCATTAACCTTCACCCTCAACACTACAAACCAGTAAGCTGCTGTGTCCAAACAGAAACACTAGAGGGCAAAGCATACACGTTCATTGAACCGGGATACACCTAGCAGACAAAAGGAAAAGAAACTATGCCCTCACACCACCATATGCCTGCACACAGCAGTAAACCAGTAGCTCCCTTAGAAAAATACGTAAATAAAATTGATCCCAAAACCTGACAAGAGGGAAAAGTGAAAACAATTTAAAAAAAACAACAAAAAGGTAAAGAAAATGTGTCAGTCTAATCCTTTTTTTTCCCAGGATGCCTTCTTCAGTGAGATAGGTAAGACTTGCTCAGAAAGAACTTGGTTCTTTACTATTTTTCCCTTTGACATACAGGGACACTCACCTGCGAAAAGGTGGAAATCCACATAACAGTATGTATGTAATCACACCTGCAGCCCAAATATCCACCTTTAAGCCATATCTGAGAAAACAAGACTTGTGTTACTTGTGCTGGATTAACAAAAAAAGTCATTCCAATCAAACAATTTATTATATTTACATGAATATATATTGAGAATCTCTTCTAAGTTACTTGCTGATGATGTGGAAATGTATTTTGTACATAAGTATCATTTTACTTAGCATCCTTCATAGTCTTTAGGAAACCATGATAACATAATTTTTCATTGACAACCCCCCCCCCCCCCCCCCCCCCCCCCCCCGCCCCCGGCGGCTCTCGTTCC